TTTCTTCAAAGAAAAAAAGTTGTCATATAATTTAACCTAGAGGGTAGGTTTTACATTTTACTGCAATATTAGAAAATGGAATTCCTCCGTGTGCTAATTGAAGAACAAAAATCACGAGAAAACATTAGGCTTCAAGTGAAGGCTCCAAAAGTGAATTAAGGTATATAAAGTATGGTCAGTCTCATGAGGGGATTAAAGCCTTCCTATGAACAGAATGTAGTGTCTCCTTGAAGGAAAGTACTATATTTCCTGTTGTTTGGTTTTTTTTTTTTTGTAGAAGAAATAGAAGCTTTTGATTGTTGGGCCGTAGATGGATTATTTTTGTTTATATTAGAAGGCAATTTTTCACAAAGCTTGAATTGTGGAGTTCTTTGCCAGAAAAATAAACCTTAATTTACATTTGAGCTACCTCATACAATCTCTGGCATGATTCCTGTTGCCTCTTTGAATTCTATTTACATAATACGTTTTGCTGAATTATTTCTGCCAATAACTTACCAGGGACAAAATGAAGTTATTATTTCTTTTATGCTATGCTGTACCTTCCATTCTCTTGTATTAATTGGGCTCTGATTCACTTAATCAGAATAACAAATTTCCCTATACACATTAGTTCAATGGATTTTTTTATTAATTTGAACAATTTATTTGCTATATAACCATACTTCTGATATTGATCAATTGAGATTTTTCTTTATGATGCTAATGAACTTATTTTAAGTTTTATTGAAATGCAACGTCATCTGAGAAATATAAATATATCTCTTTCCTAAGGCTAATTATAGGCGCTTGAAACTATTCCCTTCCATTTTGTAATTCCCTTCTTTCCTCAAATACTATGCCATTTCAGTTTCTTTAATCTATTCTTTTCCTCTTGGTTATCATATCCTTCTCTATACAAAAATGTGTATAGGTCTTTTCTACCTAAAAACAATTTAATTGGCCTTCCTACTAGCTCTAACTACAATCCCATTTGTCTCCTTCCTTTCCCTGCTAAATTTCTCAACCATGTAGTTTTCATCCACTGTCCCTATTTTCCTCATCATCCCATTACTCCTTAACCACCCCTCACCACACCTTAATTTCCTGCAGTCTGGACTCCTTTTTCTCCACTCTAGTAAAGTTGGACTCTTGGGAATCCTCAGTGACCTCCTAATAGACAGATCTAATGCTCTTTCCCCTACTCCTCATCTTCCCTGGACCTGCTGCTCAGCTCCTCAAAATAGTTTCCTTTTGGTTTCCTGATACTGTGCTGGCCACATCCAGCTGCTTAACTCTAAGTCTCTCTCCTTGGCTTCTCTTTTTGTCTCTTACCCACTAAATGTGGACATCCCACAAAATTCATTTCTGGTCATATCTGCGTTGTCTTTAAGTTCTGGGATCTTAACCCATCCCTCAGCTTCAGTTCCATTCTTCACTTCACTTCCTACTCTTGCCCCATTCCTCAATTATGAAACCATGATCGAATCAACTGTGCCATTCTTCTTGAGTAGAATTTATTCCTCTAATCCCATACGGCCCCATTCACCATATCTGTAACTCTCCAGATGAATGAATCTTAACTCATTCTACCACTGATATATTGCTTCGATGGGTTTCCTGACAGTAATCTTTCTCTGATCTAAAAAAGTTATGTCAAAGGATTTGTAATCTCTCTCTCTCTCTCTCTTTTTTTCTGTCTCTCTCTCTCTCTCTCTCCTTATCTCTCTCTCCTTCTCTCTCTCTCTCTTTTCTCTCTCTGTCTTTCCAGTGCTCTGGTAAAATATATAAGTTGTAGAAAAATCTCTCCTTTCTGGAAATATGATACTCTCAACTCTCTCATCCCAATGAAATTTCAAATAAATACCCAGACACTAACAGTGTCCTGTGGCTCAAACCATTTATGGAAACAAAATAAATAATTAAAATAAAGAAATAAAAACAGACTTTCTCAGATACAAAGTTTTCAGGTTTCCATGAGGAACCTTGAGAAAAGGAAGAAAATAGGATGATTGACTTGAGATCTGGAGAGATATCACCAACATGTCTTCTGATAGGACCAAGCAGCCTTGCTCTGAGTCCTGGCCCCTTACTTTGAAGAAGCTGCTTCTGCCAATGCTTTCATGCTCCTAGCTTCAAGATTCTTCTTCAAGTCTCCTTTCTCTCACATTGTATTTCTTCTAGGCTTTTGTTCGGGAGCTAGATTCCTCTTTAAGTTTCTCTGTTAGACTCCCTGATCGACCCATTAAAGATCACCTAGAGGCTTAACTCATCATATCTTAGGGATACCTGATAAAGAAATCATTTGCTGCTTTTTTTTTTAACAATTACTTTAAGATTTCATTATCTAGCCCCTTTCTCTGTATGGATCTCTGAAAGATACTGTGTTACAGAAATTTTCCCTTACATTGATTCTAATTCTCTCTCTCAACATCTTCATTCATTTCTTTTACTTCTGACTTATGGGACCGAGCCAAGGAAGTCTAATTCCTCTTCCATAAGACAGTCCTTCAAATTCATGAAGACAATAATCATAATGCCTCCACCACTCAAGGCTTTTCTCCAACAGTAAACATACCTAGTTTCATCAAGAGATCCTTTTTTGCCATGGTGTTGAGGACCTTCTCAGTCCTGATCACCATCCTCAGTATGTTCTCCAGGATAATAGTGACTCTCCTAATATAACTTAGTTAGAACCGAACACCACAATGAAAATATTGCCTGAATACAATGTCATTAATATATCCAAACATCTCATTAAGAGCATTGTGGTGTAACAGATACAGATCTGATTTTCAATCCAAGAAGAACATCCTTTGATACTTACTGGCTGTGTGATCCTGAGCACATCATGCTACCTCTCTTTGTACTGCATAGATCTCTAAGAATGTAAATTGCAAAGAAAGTGCTGACTTACATTCCTAGAGGGAGTTTCCTCATCCTAAGGTTCCTTATATCAATGAATTCACATGTCCAATTGCTGTCCCCAAAGATCTCATTAACTATTCTCTCTGCCATTTAGCACTTTTGACTTACATTGAATTTGCCCTCTTCACTACCACATTGTTTCAGATAATGAAACTGAGATTCAAAGACATAATGTTCTTTGCCAAAGGTCACCCTGGAACTAGAACCCAGGTCATATGCCAACAAGTCCCTGGTGCTCTTCTAGGAAATGATAGTATAATTGCCAGTTTAGATTTATAAACTTCAGATGCTCCCCCCTCCCCAGGATTTAATCGCATGATCCTTACTAGATGTTTCTTTAATAATGCTTTATCATTGTTGATACTTAAAAATTTAGGCACTCTTACATTTGCTTTCTTCATTTCTTTTTTTTTTCCTTTTGTCTGTCTGTCTCTCTTTCTGCCTTTCTTTATTTCTGTCTGTCTTCCTTTCTGTCTTTCTATCTTTCCTGTCCTTTCCATATTTCTTTCTTTACTTTTCTCCTTTCCTTTTTTCTCCCTTCTGCCTTTCTTCCCTCCCTTCCTTTCTCCTTCTCTATCTTCTTCTTTCTCTTCCTTTCTCTCCTTCTCCCTCTCTCTCTTTTCCTTCTTTTTTAAAAAACTTTTTTCTTTCCTTTCTTTTTTCCTTTGCAAATTTCCAACATACTTTTCATCTAGTTGTGGCTGTAGTGTGTTTTATACTAATAATACCATTCTGAATTTCTGCGCTATGGGGATTACCAGATTGTTGTTGAATTTGCAGATCATTAGCTCACTGCAGAATGGAAAAAGAAAAAGTATAATGTGTTGCCTAAAAATGCAAACGTAAATTAAGTTTCTTTAATTTTGGTGGGGGATAGATAAATAATGATTTGCAGCAACTGGGGGTTCTCATCTGGCTTTGTTCATATTTTAATAGTGTACTCCTCTTTGCAGACTGAGTAATTAAGTCTTATGACATTCCAGAAAGCATAAATCCTGCTGAGATGTTTAAGTTTAGAACAACCTCTTGATGTTCAATCAAAAAAAATTTTTTTTTAATGGAAAAAAGGAAGGGACACTTCTCTGGGTTCTTAACAAGCTGTTATGCTTTTACCTTTGAAACACAATTGAATGTGGCCCACTCAAACTGTTTAGCCTCATTGTTAACTAGAAACTCCTTTTGAAATTCATTGCATTCAATTACATTTTAAAAAAGAATTTTAATTGCATGCCTGTAAAGAATAAAGATGCTCTGGGCTCCATTTGTTTATCATGGAGGGGTCTAAAAAATGAGGACAGAGCTTCCCAGCTCATGCAGGGGTTGCAGAGAGAGGGAGATGACTTTTAATTCGACAAGTTCAGAGAGATTTCTTAGTTTGACGCGCACTGCAGGGGGCCTTTGAGCGCCTGGCAATACTTCAGCATTCTGAGCTTTGAAAGTCTTTCCCTGCAGCAGAAATTGTATCAAAAGCCAATGATAATATTCCCTGCAAGGTAAAGCGCCCTATTGAAGATTTCGAGAGCTGTTTATTTATTCATCACAATTTCTCTTTTAGGACATATCAGGCATCTAGGTAATAATTCACATAGATGATAGAAAATGCAAAAAAAACCCAAAAAACCTTTTCATTAATCTTTCACCTTTCCCTTTTTCTGCTGCTGCATAGGCCACATGTATGTGTAAAATGCTCTTTCTGCTTGCCCCAAATAGATATATATAATGTATATGTATATGTATATAAGCATATATACATATATATATCATTTCAAATTTCAATTTTTCCTTTTAAATTTTTTTTTAAAAATTGTCTTCTCAGGCTTACTTTCTACCCCCAACTGAGCAAATAAGATGTTTATGGCCCTTCCTCTCTACTAAATCCTCAAAGTAATTAATTAATTTTGTAGATGGATATTTGAGATCTTGGGGCCTTTTAAATGTCTTAGTATTTTAAGTATGCTTCAGAAGGCACTTTTCAGAGCAAATGTCAGTAATCTTGTTGACAAGAGTAGAGTACGGTATTTTAATTTTTTGTTTTGTATTATGTTCTATATGCACAAAACAGACATGTATTTTTCTCCCTCTCCTATTCCCAGAGCAAAGTGCGAATTGAGGGACCAAGACAACCTTTCCCAAGCGTAATGTCAGTGTCGACTATCACTTTGGCAGAATCAGTGAAGACAAAAACAGCCTCTTTGCCTGTTTTTTTCATCTGCTGGTGGCATTAAAAGTGACCTTGCCTTATAAATATTGGTGAGTGATCACAAGGGAAACAGTCTCTATGTAGAGGAGATTTCTCCCCCTACGCTTTATTTTTTTTTTTTGGTGGGGGGGAAGGAGAAGTGGGAGGGGGGATTGAAAATAAACGTACTTCATAAGTTTGTTGCTGCATCACTTACAGTTTCATTAATGAAGCAAAACTATTCGTGGAAAGAAACTTAGAAAAAAAAAACTCATATCTGGGCATGTTTATGTGCTCTTCACTTCCAAACGTAAACTGGGTTGTAGACTGCATTTAAATATCAAAAGTGTAAGAGGAAATCGCAATGGCGCATAACCACTTCTGTAACACAATACACATAGAACAGCATCAGCAAATATGTAGTTCACCCATTAATATTAATTGAACGTCCATATGGTGCACTTTACAAATCATTGAGACAATGCAGTCCCTATATCCAGGATTTTATAACTTGCCGTCAGCTCTTGATAATTTTCACCAGCGGTATAAGGGAGAAGAAGAGGGATGGGGCAGGCTAGCTTAGAAGTGTGATAGTCCCAAAGTATATATAATTGTCCCTTCCCCCTCTCTTCTCTGTATCCCTCCCAAATTAAATAATACATTATTTTTTGTGGAATGTATTTTAGAATGACATTTAACCATAGGTTTCTCTAATATAAATGAGATAATTCATATGCAATAACAAAAACCTTCTGGAGGATGGTAGAAGATTGTGATCAGTATCTCCTTAGAAAACAGTTTGTAACGAGTCCTGTCTTAAAGGACAACTTTAGTGGGAGCTAAAGCGTCAAACCTAACAATCCACACTGGGAAAAAAAAGAATGAATTATGATTGTTGTCCAAACATGATATGTAGTTGTATAAATATCCTATTGCGTTAGCTTATTGTAACTATCTGTCTACCTATATATCAGTCTATCTGTCTGCCTGCTTATCTATCTGTCTGTCTATCTTAGACAGACATTGAAGATTAACAGTGATCTCCATCTAGATATAAATAAGGGGAAAAGAATGGGCTGGATTTCATTAAAGGAACTTTATGGTGCTTTCATTGACCACACCCACCCACCCACATACATACATCCCACATATATATTCACTTTTCTCTGAAACAAACTTTTTAACATCTTCCCATCTTTTTAATACTAATATTCTTCTGCTGATGCTCTAGACTCTGAATAATGGAAAACCATAATCACCAAAGACTTAGAATTGCAGTTCACCCAAGATTAATGGAGTGACATATGGTGAGTTTACACAAGCTATAGCATAGTACTAAAAATGATTTGCCTGAAACACACAATGGAAAAAATAACATGCAAGACATGTAGGATAAAAATAGGAGGTAGACTAATGAATGTGTGGGATAAGAGCTACATATAATTCATAACCCAAAATGTCAAGAGGGCTACAGTAAAGCACCCAGTGTGTTAGATGGATCCTTTGTGAAGGATTTATGGGAAACAATGGACAAGAGCTATATAGAATGAAAAAGGGTCATAGATAGGTTCAAGTCTGCAGCGCTGGAGGAGAGTACCAGTATTACTGAGATGACAGTTCAGTTGATGTAAATGATCCTGTTTGGACCCAATTCAAAAAAAGTCAAGAACTGTCCAGTTTCTCTTCTATAAAATCGGTTTAATTTGGGGTATAGATAGCTTTTAGACTGATGTGAAGCTTGACAAGTCTCTGGGGTGGGAAATAGTCATCTATTCTCCACATTACAATCAAATAAATAAAAGTGGTCTACATATAAACATAGCATTTCTACATGTGGTCAAGAAACTTGAATTTCTAAGTACAACTTAGATTTTTGTTATAATTATGTTCCATATTTAAATTAATCATGCAGAATAAAATTACCACTGAAATCTATTATTAGGTTTTGTTTTGTTTTTAAGCCATCACCAGTTTAAAATTCAATAAGTAATGATAAGGGTGACCAGAGAAGGACTGACAAGTAGAAATCTGAACTCTCCATAATCTGAATATGTTCAGAACTTGTGATGGGTTACATGTTTTGTCTCTGATATTTAAGAAACACAAATCAGTTGTTCTGGGACCTTATTGCATCAACCATTCATGTCACTACTGAATCAAAATTGAGTATAGGAAATTGAGATTTTACTAATGCCATATTTATTCTTCTTTCAACAAAACAATGTAGCCATTAGGGTAATTCATTCATAAACTCACCTTCATGTAATAAAAATAATTAAACATATCAAGATTTGAATAAAAGAATGTACTAAAGATTATATTTCATACTAAATTTCTGTACTAAATAAATAGTATATCATATCATTTTGGGAGTTAACTTATTTGATCATGTGCCTTTTAACTGCCCTCTCCCATCCCAAAAGAAGAGGTTTTGCTCTTACTAGAGGATTGTTATGAAAATAAAATGTTAGTATATATAAAGTTCTTAGTAACCATAAAGCACTATATAAATTGCTAGCTATTATTATACAAAATTTATAACTACTGGTACTGGAAGAGTTCAGACCTCTATTACTTTACCACACATTGCCTTGCCAATAATATTCGTGGATTGTCATAGGCACATGGATGCAAACATTTATAGATAATTTTGCATATGTATGGTTTCTTATCTCTGTAAAATCTTTAATAATGATCAGCTCACATACCAAAGATACCCTTGATTAAAATAAGAGATGGGAACAAAGAAGCTTTTGCAAACAGTTTTCCACAAAAAGATCACATTTTCGTATCTACGTAATTAACTCCGTGGTATAAAGCACGCATGATTTTTCTGTGGCTGTTGTTTGCTGATTATAAAAAAAAATACATTTGATTCAAAAGAGCAAAATATATCTTTAAATGTACCTCAATGAAGTGTCTCCCATGCATATGCTAAGATTCTCTAATAGATAGAACAACATAGATAACTTTGAGGGAAAATTCCTTGGTTATTAAAATCAAATAATACATAAAATGATGAGATACACATGCACCAAAGGTATTTGCCGTAATTGTGGAAGATGTCTAATGGAGAATTCTCATTTCTTCCAACCAGTCCCCACAGGACCTAATATCATGTCCTCTCACCCTCTAATTGTGGGGTACAAATTCCTATACGACTTAGTTATTAATCTTTGAGAGTATCTCTCACTGAATGACCGTACTCTGTGGTCAGCCTGAAGATTATTCTCTCAGAATTAAACTAAATTGGTCCCAATCCACAAACATATAGTATCCTGCATATGCAAAAACTTTTCTGTTTCCAAGTTTGCTGTGTGCTGACAAAGCCTTCAAAAGCGTTCAAGGATGCCAATTTACAGGGGGCAGCTAGGTGGCACTGTGGACAGAGTACCAGTCCTGGAGGACTGGTAGCAGTCAGGAAGACCTGAGTTCAAATACAGTCTCAGACCAGATAATTGACACTTAATAGCTGCGTGACCCTTAGCAAGTCACTTACCACCAATTGTCTCAAAAAAAAATTTTTAATGCCAACTTGCTGATGTAGTAGAGAAGTATTTTAATGAAGGTCACTTGTCAATGACCTTCCTATCACACCAAATATTTTACTTTATATGTGGTCTGACCAAGGCTGAGGACAGTAAGACTGTATTACATGTCTGTGAATGTAGCCTGATTCCTTCCCTACTGCCTTCAAACATGGCCAGATCATTCTCATTATTAAAGTCTTCTATCAATAGATATCTCTCCTTGCTTTCTCAGCCAAATTGCTTGAGAAAATCTTCTGTATTTGCTCTCTTCACTGTCTTTTCCTCAACCCTTTGAAGTGTGATTTCCAGCCTCAATCCTTAACTGAAACTCCCCTTTCCAAAGTTACCAGTGATCTCCTAATGACAAATTTAATTATATTTTCTTAGGACTCATTCTTCTTGATCTGTCTGGAACATTTGACATTTCTGATGACCCTCTCCCCTCTTTGGGTTCTGGTGACGTTTCTGTCTACTGGTTTTCCTCTTACCTCTCTGACCTCTCTTCTCAATCTTGCTTGCTTATCCATAACCTATGCCCTAAGTGTATGTTATAGATGAGTTTCTGTTTGAGACCCTCTTCTCTTCTACCTCTTCACATTTGCTCTTTGTAACCTCATCAGATTTCGTGAGGTTTTTCTCATATTCGTATGACTCACTGAAGTGAGTCCTAGCACCCCCCAGCTTCAGTCACTTATCACCACCATCTTTCACTTATTAAGCGTTGTAAACTCCATGTCCCAGAGACATCTTAAATGCAACTTGTCTAATACTGAGCATAGTATATATTTCTTATATTTCTTCTAAGTTACTGTTTCTGTCAAAGACCGTGCCATCCTTCCAGTGTCCTAGACTTAAAACCTTGGCATTATCCTGGACTTCCCACTCTCCTTCATCCCACGTAGGAGATCAGTAATAACCTTGCCATTTCTATCTTTGCAACATTTCTCATATTTGACCACTTCTCTGTAGCTCCCACAATTACCACTCGAATTCATGCCCTCATCACCTTTCCCCTAGATTACTGAACAGTTTAGAAATTTGTCTTCTCATCTTAAGTCTCTTATCTCTCCACTCCATTTTACACACAGTTGCCTAAGTAATGTTCCTTAAATGTAAATGTCACCACGTGACTCCCCCATTAAATCAGTTCCAATGGCTTCTTCTTGCCTCAAGGATAAAATATAAACTTCTATTTAGTTTTTAAAGACCCATGTAATCTGGCCCCAACCTATCTTTCCAGCCTTGTTGAATACTATTAAGTCTTTATTTAGAAATATAGTCAGACTGGTCTTCTCTCTGTTCTTTATCCAAGACTCTTCCATCTCCAGGACAGACAGCTAGATTGCACATTGCACAAATAGAACACTGGACTCAGAGTCAGGAAGACTTGAGTTCAAAAGTAGCATCAAATATTTACTGTGTGACCCTGGTCTAGTTACTTAACCTCTCTCTACCTACCTGTAACATGGCCATAATAAAACCTACTTCACAAGGCTGTTGTGAAGATTAAATACATTAATATTTGTAAGGTACTTAGCACAGTCACTGAGACATAATAAGGTCTGCAAATGATCATTCCTGTCTTCCCCTGACCCCCAGAGTCTATCTTACATCACTTGCATTGAATATCCTATGTGCCTAGAATGAATTGTTCCTTGCTTCTGCCAACTCTCTTCTTTTATGATGCAACTCAAACCCCCATCATGTTCATTAAGCCTTTACTCAATTACTAGTGTCTTTCACTTTCTATTTATGCTGAATTATGTATACATGTATATATGTATATGTGTGATATGTGTGTATGTATATATATATATATATATATATATGTATACACATACAGACACACATACACATAGGCTTCTTGCTTATTGGCATTACTTTATTGGCACCTAATAGATACTTGTTTGATTGAGTACTCATTAGCTTTCTTGTCTGTGTCACATTTCTGAAACAGTAGTTTTTTAGTTTTCTGAAAACACCAGATCTTTTTTTTTCTCATAAACTGGTTCCTACCCTCATTTCTCCATCCTCTACTTAAAAAGTTTTTTCAAACCCAAGTGTATGATTTATGTTTAACCCTATGAAATTTCATCTTCCCAGATTCACTCTATTTATGCAGTCAACTGATATCTTTTCAGATACTGATTACATCTTCTAGCTTGTTGGCTATCTCTCTCATCTTGGTGTAATGTGCCATCATCCTGTTTGATAACCATGCCTTTGATGCCTTCATCCAATTTACTGATAAAAACATGGAAAGCCTAGATATCTTTCCAAGTTGGCATCTACCCTTTAATCACCACTATTTATGTCCAGTTGTATAAACAGTTCTATATTCATTTAAATCTACTATCATCTACCCCCACATCTCTCCATCTTATCCAAAAGGATATAATGAAAGTTGCTATTAAATACCTCACTCAAACCTAGGTATACTATATCTACCTCCTGGAATCACCCTCTGAGACTGGTTCCTAAGCAGCTGTTAAAACTAACACCTCTCTTTATGCTTTCTTAAGGATTCTTCTCTTCACTTTCTGCAAACCATCATTCACATCTTTACAGCTGTTCTGACCAAAGCCCCTCTGAGATTTCTGGTGATGCTGCCAGCCAGTTTTTTTTTTTCCCTCTTGTAGGTATTTGTTTGCCTAGGTCTGTGTGTGGAGGAAAGGATAGGGAGACAATCAGGTAAGCAAGTGATTAGGCTGTTAAGTAAAGTGAGGTAACCTTATTGGCCTCTCCCCACCACCAGTTT